AGATGACACGATGTCCCTCCCTACTACTCGTGTGTAGGTGGACTAAACCACGGTGGGAGTACAAACAATCTTTGAGTATGGTTCGAGTGTGGCATATGGCTGGTTAGAATCTGATTGGTCAGGAGCCAGTGCATGTCATCTATACGTATGCTTTTACATATGCTGGGAAACAGTCTCAAAATCAGCTTTGCATCTGGATTTATCTGATCGGTAAGTGGCGTCTTCATTTTATAGTACTTCTGTCTGCATTCCAATTGTTGCGGTGGAAACTCTAGTGTAGAGATACAGACAGCCCTGGCACAGTCTAGAAATCAACTTGAAGTTGGTGTCCTAGTTCAAACACTGAAACCTGATTGGCCAGTGGCGGAAACTGTGATGGGTGGGAGAGCAGATGGTAACTGCTACCCACACCACGTGCAGTATGCAGTGTATAGTAGTAGGTCCCCAGTTATACATACCCATCAGCTCTTCTACCTCTGCAGAGTGCTGGTTGTAAAAGCTACATATTCTCTGCACTTTCTTTATCTGTGGTGGTAGGGGAGAAAGCAAGTAACACGCACCACTATTACAGGGCGAGTGTCCATGTGGCAAGTTCGGACAAAAACATCAACTGTGAGTATTAGCACCGGCAGCATAGGCTCCTTCTACTACTTCAGATATTGCCGTTTTCAGGGCTACTCTATGGAGGTTGTTTTTATGCCGGGAGACCTCACCAACTACTGCTTTAGCTTGCATGCATATACAGGACTCCTATTTGCAGGGAACCTGTTGAATCTGTAGGAGTCTCAGAGTGATTTTGAGGGGTGGATGAAGTAGCCTGCAACTCATTCCATCGCAGAAAGTCCACGTGCAGTGTCGTCATTATTGCACTCACTTTTCGCAGTGTTTATGGGCGGATTATGCATACTCATCAGTTCTGTGGCTCACCTACTGTATCATCATGCAGTGCGGTAAAGTTGTTCAGCATGTTTACCAGGTCCTCGGGGCATAAATGCGAACTGTAAAGTGTCGAAATAGTTTCAGGTGTGTGGCTGATGAGAGCCCTTACTGTAGGACTGTTGCAATGCACAGACATGTTGTGGTGGCTTTCCTAAAGCCAGTATGTGTGTAAAGTTGCACTTCCCCTATTTTTGCCGATGTATACCTATACCACCCTCAAGTGGATGCAACAACATGGTCCTAACATGATTCATGCCATGTGAAGCGCAAACTGATTATGGCCTGTTCATGTGATCTCTAGCAGACGTGTGATCGTATTGAAATGTATATACCAGACCCCTTTTCCGCATAATCCGAAGAAAAATTTTGCAGATTTTTTATATTTTATGCATGCGTATAAATGGATATACAGTAAAAGTTATTTCTACATGTGATTTACTGACACTTCAGTGCTATAATATGTAGACTGTCACACTCTTTATCTAAGAGTCTCAACCATTACTCTCTTCTCACCAGCAAGTGTATCCCTCCGTGCAGTCGAAGTCAAACAAATACATACAAGGCCCGGACATATATCCCCTATCTTCGCAGCACATGTCATGATCGTAGCAGCCTTTCTGGTAGCAGCAAGTGCCGCACATCTCCCTTATACATTCTGTGCATCCTGGTTCTCCGCCGCACCTTCCATAACAGTTGAGCCAGTCCGGACACATACCGTTGCACAGTCTGGTACCTGGAATACATATGCCAGTGCGACAGATCGTGTCACTGCAGCTGCAACACCTGCACCCTGGGGCCAATGATAGCCGTTTCTGTGGCTGCGTGTGTTCTTGTTGTTGAGTTGACCGTCTACCTAGAAATATTGATGATAATGGTGAGATCTGGCACTGCCATGGCCGCGAGTCGCAGAATTGGGCAATAGTTACATGGATGTGGTGGGGTGAGGGTCGGAAAGTCAGGCAGAGGGTCATCAATAAATTGCCTTTTTCTACGGCCCATGTCTGTAGCATCTCCGCTACCTTCCCAATTCCCACTGCTATTCATGTTCTGTCGATGCAGCGCTTTTCCCAATGCCATTGCTATTCCGTAGAAGTAGAGTGCTCCCCGGTTTTCGTACCCCATCACACCTGCCCTACCTAACGCTTTGGCTGCAGGTCGAATCAACGATATTTCATGCCGAGAAAAAAGTCTCAGAAAGGCTTGCTCTTCAGCTGTTCGAACCTCAGACGCACTCTGTTCAGTCAACTGTGAAGTTATTCGCTGCTCCTTCCTTGTCTTGATGTCCTCTTTCACTCGATCGATTAGTGACTCGGGCACAATGAATTGGTGTTTAATTGGCTCACCATTCTCTCCTGTCGTTTTTTCTTGGAGGAAGTTGCTGTCTAGTACTCGATAGAGCCTGGAGGAGTCACTTGGTGCACTGCCAGACATTAGGACTTCGTTGTTGCTCATCGACGTAACCGTGATGGAAGAACTGTCGCCGTAGATTCGTATTCCGGTCTCGGCAATGAAAAATATCGCCTCCAGAACATTGTTCTCTGCATTGATAATCTGCAGGCGACTCTCTTGTTCGTTGGTCATAGGATTTGCAGAAGCAGCTATGAAAAGGACTGCAAGGAAGGGAAAAAGAAATCCTGCCATTTTTGAAGTAGTCCTCGATATTTTTCCTCTTCTGCAATTGCACTATTGAGAGAGCTTCTTTTATAGGGAAATTGGTAGGTTGTTTTTCTTCCAAAATGAAGATTCCAACCTAATAGTATTGTAGTATTTCCAGATGTTAGCCAGGTTTTAAGAAAGAAAAACAGCGCATAAGCTAGGAGTGGTGTCTGACATTTAAATCTGATTGGCCTGTGGCTACCGAATTCCCTAGTATTTCTGTCTCCATTCTAATTGTTGCGGTGGGAAACTCAAAGGCAGAAAGACAGCCCTGGCGGAGTAGAATCAACAAGAGCCGATTGCTGCAATCTGATTGGTCAGTGGCTACCGAATTCCCTAGTATTTCTGTCTCCATTCTAATTGTTGCTGGTGGGAAACTCAAGGGCAGAGAGACAGCCCCTGGCAGACTAGAATCAACAAGAGCCGATTGCTGCAATCTGATTGGTCAGTGGCAGATGACACGATGTCCCTCCCTACTACTCGTGTGTAGGTGGACTAAACCACGGTGGGAGTACAAACAGTCTTTGAGTATGGTTCAAGTATGGCATATGGCCACTTTAATCTGATTGGTCAGTAGACAGTGCATGCCATTATAGGTATCAGCCTTAAGCCTATACATAATATGCTGGGAACTCAGAATCTGGGCGTTGTAGAATGGGGATTGGTAAGTGGCATCTCCATCTTATACCCCATTCTAATTTTTGCGGTGGAAAGTCTATTGTAGAGAGACTGACGGCCCTGGCAAGGTCATAGACGTAGAAATCAACTTGCCAGTAGCAGAATCTCTGATGCCTCTGTGGGGTGGGAGAGCAGATGGTAACTGTTGCTTACACCACATGCAGTATGTAGCGTATAGTAATAGATCCCCAGGTATAGATATGGATATACCCATCAGCTTTTGTACCTCGAAGCTACTTATTCGCAGCACCTATCTATTGGGGGGGCAGGGGGTTTGAGTGGTAGATGCACCTCTGAAACTGGGGCCAGCTTGTGTTCAGAAGGGCGTATGGCCATCCACATTCTACGTTAATGGGTTACTCCCATAAAAGGCTTAGCAGTTATGAATGAACTCTACTGAGGTTATTGCATCATCCTATGAATCAGTTAGAGCAGAGCGTGTTACACGAAACTGTCAGAATTACCAAATCTATATGTAGAAACAAGCAGTGTAGATTAAATGCTGGTGCTCGTGCTTGTACTAGTGGCACTGTTATGTGCTACTGGTGTGTGTGGGCCAGTTCACTTGTACCATGTCACTGGAGGCTGAGAGTGGAAGAGGTGGTACTGAGATGCATCGAAGTTTTGCTTCTGGAAAGCGAACAGCATTGTTAAGAGAAGGCGAAGAAATAATTTTTGAGTTGCAACTTCATATCAGTGACGTAGAGTGTAGTATGGAGCTTGTAAGTCTCACGTACTCCAATGATGGCGATGGTGATATTGTGGAGGTATTCATTAACAAACACTTGATCGGATCTTTTGAAAGCTATGCTGAGTCAAATAATGGATATAATTGGAACAAATTTCGGACAAAAACAGTCTTTTCATCGAAATCAACAGTGAGCATAAGCAATGGCCTTTCAACACTTAGAGTCTTGGCTGCAAATGCAGACTCATATGGTGTGGAGATTGATAAACTGTCACTAGAGCTTGACTGTCCACTTGAGCAAGTCTCTGTAGTGGCTGACTGCTCACAAGACGTTGTGTCAGTAGAAGAGGAAGACACTAACGAAGAGAGTAGTACTCTGTCTAATGGAGAAATCATTGCTATAGTTTTTGGGATTACATCATTTGTTACACTGGGAATCCCTACCTTTTGTGCTGGATTTGTCAAGTTCTTTAGGTGGCTAATGACATAGCAAGATGTTTTGTGTATTCCACCCATGTTCATGTGCCACTTTAGACTTTCCTTCGCTATATTAAGGTCTATCAAGACCTGCAAATTATGCGTATGTGCCCTTCATGCGCGCTACTGACTGGCAACTGACCGGGGTAGTATGGAGCAGTAGCAGCAAGAGGTCTCTTGAGGTGCTGTGGACATGCAGAACCTCCTACAAATAAACCACGTGAGTTTGGAGCTCCTCGGCCTACAAAGATGTTGAAACCTCTACGTTCGAGAGTTATGGCGTAGAAAACAAGCGAGAAAGCCAATATTCAATAGCTTACCTCGACTAGCGCTTGCCCACTAATAGCACCATGGGGGCACAAGTTACTCAGAGGACAGGTATCCAATACTGAGATAAAATAAGAAACCAACTATGCGACTGGGTAGTGTGGCCCAGCAAGTGCAGTGTATAGTGACATTGCATTACGGCGAAGGTTTGCACTTTAGTGGTTTTCATTGTTGCATGCAAGTAGTCTTCATTATAAGTTTGTTAACCAAACATAATGGGTAAGATTATGTAATACAAGTCTATAGAGTCATAGCTAAATGTGTCTTAGTAGCCATCGCAATCAAAGCCAATTGGTATAATACAAGCAAGGGACAAGAATTTCTTTCCGCATTTTAAGTCGTGTTGGTAACACCCAGTCGTGAAGCAGCAGTCCCCGCACAACCAACTCAACACGAGCAGAGCCGGCCGCACATCCCCACGCAATCCTCCACAAGTGGGCAGAGTCCTCTCTTGCACTCGTAGTTGTGATGACAGTCCTCACAGAGCACCTGGTTTTCCTCACGGCAACAGTGCACGCCTTCGGGGATCGGAATGGCGCATCGGTCTGTCGAGTAGGGGTAGTAGTCTGCGGTGTCGTTTGAAGGAGGGTCGTAGTCGGTTGGCGGAGGAGAGGGGCATGGTACCACTGACGTCTTCGGTGGTGTGTTGGTAATGCACGGGTTGCTGAGGACCGAAGGCTTAAGGCTTGCTGTTGGTGTGGGGCAAATGGTGTAAGTATAGGTTACTTCTTGACACGAGACTTCGCTGTCTTGGTTGCTGAGGGTCGGGGTCGGTGTTGGGCAGATGCTGGTAGTATAGGTTCTTGTGTCTGTGGTCACCCACCACAGAATTCCTCCGGTGCTGAGAGTGGTTTTTGTAACTTCTGTGCAGTCCGGCACATTACTCGACTTTACACTGGGAGATGGGGATATTGCTGGAAGACACAAGACTTCGCTGTCTTGGTTGCTGAGGGTCGGGGTCGGTGTTGGGCAGATGGTGGTAGTATAGGTTCTTGTGTCTGTGGTCACCCACCAAAATCCTCCGGTGCTGAGAGTGGTTTTTGTAACTTCTGTGCAGTCCGGCACATTACTCGACTTTACACTTGGAGATAGAGATATTGCTGGAAGGCACAAGACTTCCTCCTGGTTGTCGACCACCCTCCTTTCTCCCTCGCTTTCGGTGTCCAGGGAACGATGACGACGCTTGAAAGATTGTGTCTCTCTGTCCGCACTTCTTCTCGAGCTGTGCCCCTCCCTCCCTCTGAGCATGTTCATAACCGTCATGTAGAACAGCAAAGCTCCGTCGTTTTCTGCTCCTATTACTCCACGTTCGCCCAGAATTCGAGCAGTCTCCTCCAGTATTTTGATCTCCGGCCTCTGCACTAGTTCGCGAATGGCCCCTTCAGAAGACTGTCGAGCACCACTTTGATCAAGAGACCCGAGCATTCTCTGAATCTTCTTCTGCTTGAATGCCTCTTTTGCCTCTGCTTCCATCGAACTTGGCACAGCATACTCGGTTTTCGTGAGAGTTCCGTCTCTGTCTGTGGTTTCAGTCGCAAAGAAGCTCTGTCCCTGAGCAGAATAGAATGTTCCGGAACCGTCAATCTTCTCTCCGTAGATGAGTATTTCCCCTCGATTTGATTGGATAGAGAGCCGGTTTGACTTGGCATTGATCTGTACTCCCATTCCTTCATCTCCCCACGTCACCCAGGCCTCTAGCTCGTTTTCGTCCGACCTCACAAGCTGTACGTCCACTGAATCTCTCAGGGGTGTTGCTCCTGCCATGACAGCCAGGAATGCCAGCGTAACAAGCACCAACCAACCCATAGCCTGTCCCAGCTTGATCTCTATGCAGTGTCTAGTCAGAAACTGTTGAATCTGAGAATTAGCTCGTTCTTTATTAGGACTTTTCTTGGGGAAAGTATTCTCTGCTGTGATAACTGTTGTCTTAGCCATTATCTGAGGCCTGTTAATCAGGTATTGTTGGAGCAACCAAAAACTATAGCATTCCAGTTTCATGCTGATAATCACTGGTACCAAATTCATTGGTTTCCTCTTATCGCAGCGTAGTACCTCTTCCCACGCTCATCCCTACTGCGCGCAGCGTAGTTCCTCTTCCCACGCTCATCCCTACTGCGCGCGGCGTAGTTCCTCTTCCTGCCCTCATCCCCACCGCACGCAGCGTAGTACCTCTTCCCGCGCTCATCCCTACTGCGCGCGGCGTAGTTCCTCTTCCCGCGCGCATCCCTACCGCACGCAGCGTAGTTCCTCTTCCCGCGCGCATCCCTACTGCGCGCAGCGTAGTTCCTCTTCCCGCGCGCATCCCTACCGAGCGCAGCGTAGTTCCTCTTCCCGCGCGCTCTGGTTGGAGAGAGGGTCTGCGGGCCAGGCTGCATACTCCCTATCCCCCTTCTCTCATTTATATTCCTGTTCTTCTTCCCCTTTTTTTCTTTTCTTCTTCCCTTTGTCTCTTCTCTCTTACCTCCCCCCTCTCCTATCTCCCTCCTCCCCTATCTCTTTACATTACTCCCTATTGCATACCCCTCCTCCCTACACCTTTCCTCCTTTCTTCCTCCCATCATCTCCTCCCTTACCTCTTTCTCCTCCCTTCCCCTTCTTCTTCCCTTCATTTCCTCTCTTTTAACCGTTTTTCCCTCCTCACTTTTTTCCGTTCCTCCCTCCATTCCGCTCTGCCCCTCTCTCACACACCAGGTTCGAGACCAGTTTGGAGCGAGAGTCATCTTCCCCCAGAGGAACAGTGACGATGATGCGGAGACAATCACCATCATGGGCAAGAAGGAGAAGGCGGAGGCAGTCAAAGATCACCTTCAGAAACTCATCAAGGAACTGGTTTGTCTTTTGCTCTGACCCAACCCTTTGCTACCGTCTCTCTGACCTCAGTCAGTCGCTTTAGGTGGTCACTTTGACCCTGCCCTCTAGTCTGTCGCCCAGACCCCGTCTTCTAGTCTGTTGCTCAGACGCCGCTACTCTAGTGTATCGCTCAGACTCCACCCTCTAGTCTGTTGCTAAGACCCCGTCCTCTAGTGTATCGCTCAGACTCCGCCCTCTTGTCCCTAGCTCAGACTCCGCCCTCTAGTCTGTCGCTAAGACCCCGTCTTCTTGTGTATCGCTCAGACTCCGCCCTCTTGTATCGCTCAGACTCCGCCCTCTAGTCTTATGCTCAGACCCCGCCCTCTTGTGTATCGCTCAGACTCCGCCCTCTAGTCTTTTGCTCAGACTCCGCCCTGTAGTGTATCGCTCAGACTGCACCCTCTAGTCCCTAGCTCAGACTCCGCCCTGTAGTGATATCGCTCAGACTCCACCCTCTAGTGTATCGCTAAGACTCCACCCTCTAGTCCCTACGCCCTCTAGTGTATCACTCAGACTCCGCCCTGTAGTGTATCGCTCAGACTGCACCCTCTAGTCCCTAGCTCAGACTCCGCCCTGTAGTGTATCGCTCAGACTGCACCCTCTAGTCCCTAGCTCAGACCCCGCCCTCTAGTGTATCGCTCAGACTGCACCCTCTAGTCCCTAGCTCAGACTCCGCCCTCTAGTGTATCGCTCAGATTCCACCCTCTAGTGTATCGCTCAGACTCCGCCCTGTAGTGTATCGCTCAGACTGCACCCTCTAGTCCCTAGCTCAGACTCCGCCCTGTAGTGTATCGCTCAGACTGCACCCTCTAGTCCCTAGCTCAGACCCCGCCCTCTAGTGTATCGCTCAGACTGCACCCTCTAGTCCCTAGCTCAGACTCCGCCCTCTAGTGTATCGCTCAGACCACGCCCTCTAGTGTATCGCTCAGACTCCACCCTCTAGTCCCTAGCTCAGACCCTGCCCTCTAGTCTGTTGCTCAGACTCTGCACTCTAGTCTTATGCTCAGACCACGCCCTCTAGTGTATCGCTCAGACCCCGCCCTCTGGTGTATCGCTCAGACTCCACTCTCTAGTCTGTTGCTCAGACCCCGCCCTCTAGTATTATGCTCAGACCACGCCCTCTAGTGTATCTCTCAGACCCCGCCCTCTAGTCTATTGCTCAGACCCCACCCTCTAGTACCCGCCCTCTAGTCTTTTGGCCCCACCGTCTAGTCTTTCTCTAGTCTGTCGGTCCCGCCCTCTAGTCTTATGCTCAGACCCCACCCTCTAGTCCCTAGCTCAGGCCCCACCCACCCCGAGGGACACATGTTGTCTCTAGACCACGCCCCTATTTTGTGGTGTGAGGATAATGTAGTGTGACTATTCATGTGACTGTCACATGTTTCATTTCAGGACAACATTGTAGAAGTGGAGATGCAAGTGGCCCAGAAGTATCACAAGCACTTTGTGCAGCGTCGAGGACAGGTGAGAATTATATTGGGGGATGTCCTTTTGTCTTTCTACTTCTATGAGTCTAATAAGATATCTGTACAGTTTTACTTGCTTATCAACTGGAAGTAAGAACATATTTCACACTCACTTGTGAGTGATTTGTACTGTATTTTCCAGCCAGTCACACAAATTGTGATTATTTGGTCTGTCCCCCCCTCCCACCTTCCTCCATCTGGTCTTTGCCACACCACATCTGTGTATACATTTCATCCCCTCGGATCTACCAGCTGCCCTCTTACACTCCATCAAACCAACCCGTGTTTACAGTAGAGCGGAAGCGACGTTTACCTAAGCCGTAAGTATGGATGCTGAATCATCCCGCCTTCCGCTATGACTTGAAGCTAAGCAAACAGTGAAGGGTTTCCTCGGGCCAAGTCGCCGCTCCAGAATGGTGCCTCAAAGTTCCTGCGGATGTAAACATGTGGCGCTGCTTTTGTTGCATGTCTGCACAAACTGTTGCAGACCCTACGTGTCTGTTTCCTTGTTTGTGTAGCTTGCGCGCCCCGATCCCCCTCACTCAACCGTTCTCCCCCTCACACATTACTGGCGCTGTTCTTGTAAGGTCAAGTTGTGCTTGCAAATCTTGATGGCTTTAGCTTGAAAGCTTTAACACTTAACCAGCCGCGAACACAATGTGTCCAGACCCTCCATAAGTCCATAAGAATTTAAATGGGGGTTATAATACTAGGCACTAATACTTCAAACATCAATTTCTGCTTATTTAAGTAGATCCCCATGGCGTCCAAAGGGTTTTAAGGTCGGGCATATTTCGTGGAAGATGCTTCTTTCAGGCCTGAGAATTAAGTACCACGATATTGAGTTTGTTGCTACCACCAACACAGGTTTTGGACTTTCTCACGTGCCTATATGTGAGAAAGATTGAGGAACACTTTGTAATACAATGTCACTGATAATCGGCGTTGGTTACTAACATGTGAAACATGCGTACCTAAGTGTTGAAAACACGCAATTTAAACTTGCAAAATCGCATTGCTAACCGATGTGCACAACGTGAAAGATGGAGTGGAGTAAAGGGACGAAAGATGTTTAAAATTCAATTTACGAGTGAGGAAAACACGTCAGTCTAAGGTCATTTATGTTTTTGAAAGCCTAAACTTTTGCTACGTAACGTCATGGTGTAAATACCACATTAATTATGTAAATACCAGCTGCCGAAACACAGCCAATGGATGCATAAACAAAACATGAGCCTACGGTTACTATACGTGTCTACATATGTACTACATATGTACAGGTATCTATAAGTATGCGTCATGGTAACTGTTTGTTTATTGCAGCTGTGTAGAAAGCATCTTTCTATTTGCTCATTCCCCAGTGCCTTCGTATCCAAAACCTCCGAATTTGCAACTTTTTTTCTCGCTAGGTAATCATCACCCCTTATTGAGAGTGACGGGGAGGGACAGGGGGAGAGGGGAGAAAGGGAAGGGAGAAAGAGATAAGAGAATGACATAGGGCTTGTGTGGTAGAAAATGGACAGCTACGAACTGCATTGTGTGCTTTCTGGGCGTGCTTGGTTGTTTAGTGTGATCACCACAATATGTGGCTTTCGCTCAGTGCTTATTACTTATTGTATCCAAAGACGGTATAATCTGATCTCTAGTCCGATGAAACCTTGTAACGTTCCCCTTGCGAATCTGTTCGTAGAGAAGGTTCAGTACAGTCGAACCTCACAAAACTCATGTGAATGACCCCTACACACTTTGTTTTCTCCGTACTGAAGTTGTTCAAGAAGGTTCGCACTGGTACGGATGGAAAGTTGATGTGTAATACACACACATACACACTCGTTTCTTTTGACGCCTGTTTGCACCCTGGTGCTTTTCATTCCCTCTTTGACTTTGAGGTTGTGTATCTTGATCACGTGTGTGACTTTATGGCACCATAGAAAGTGCACATTAGCAACTCACGGATCATTAGGTGCCGTATATGCCCACTAGGTCCCTCGCAATACAACCGACTGTATAAAACGATGAAATTTACTCCTGCATCTTGTGTCAGCTACAGCTGGCGTGGCATTGAAAGTTCAGTATTCGGATTGTCTCCTTTGAACCTTATTATACCAACTAAAAATCATTTTTTGACGGGTGTTGTATATGGGTTTTTTGCACAGTGAGCGAATAACTTGGGATTTTTGACTGCGCAGTTTATCCAAATGATATGAGGGCAAAACAGCACTTGGGCCTCTGACTGCACATAATTTACGGATTTGTCACTAATGAGCTGGAAAACTACACGCCCCAATTTTTCTCTCCCCGCCCCCCCCCTCTTCTTCCTCTCTCTTACTTACGTAATCTTAATACAGATATCCCCTATTTTCTATACTCGTTGCACGTGCATCACGTCTAAAGGCATGTAAACCATGTTTGCCTGACCTCTCACTATATACCACATTTCCTACTGCCACTCCCGGTCAATATTATGCTGTAGATGCACTGCTAGTTTGTATACATGCGCCTGTGTCAGCCTGACAGGCATGACATGTGATCCTAGTACTGAGTACTGTGATGTAACAAACAGCCTATTTGTCATCCAATCTCATTGTGCACGTGACGTAGAGAATGATCCGTTTAAGGCATTCCTGTGTGACTTATACGTCATTGTATACTGCATATTCTAGTGACTCTATCTCCTTATAAGACTTACTGTTTTCCCCTTACATCTCCCCTCTTTAACTTGCTTTGTAGTGGCCAAGGCATTCAGTGTTTGACTAAGTTACTTATACGTCATTGTATACTGGTGACTCCATCTCCTTATAAGACATACTGTTTTCCCCTTACATCTCCCCTCTTTAACTTGCTTTGTAGTGGCCAAGGCATTCAGTGTTTGACTAAGTTACTTATACGTCATTGTATACTGGTGACTCCATCTCCTTATAAGACTTACTGTTTTCCCCTTACATCTCCCCTCTTTAACTTGCTTTGTAGTGGCCAAGGCATTCAGTGTTTGACTAAGTTACTTATACGTCATTGTATACTGGTGACTCCATCTCCTTATAAGACATACTGTTTTCCCCTTACATCTCCCCTCTTTAACTTGCTTTGTAGTGGCCAAGGCATTCAGTGTTTGACTAAGTTACTTATAAGTCATTGTATACTGGTGACTCCATCTCCTTATAAGACATACTGTTTTTCCCCTTACATCTCCCCTCTTTAACTTGCTTTGTAGTGGCCAAGGCATTCAGTGTTTGACTAAGTTACTTATACGTCATTGTATACTGGTGACTCCATCTCCTTATAAGACATACTGTTTTCCCCTTACATCTCCCCTCTTTAACTTGCTTTGTAGTGGCCAAGGCATTCAGTGTTTGACTAAGTTACTTATACGTCATTGTATACTGGTGACTCCATCTCCTTATAAGACATACTGTTTTTCCCCTTACATCTCCCCTCTTTAACTTGCTTTGTAGTGGCCAAGGCATTCAGTGTTTGACTAAGTTACTTATACGTCATTGTATACTGGTGACTCCATCTCCTTATAAGACATACTGTTTTCCCCTTACATCTCCCCTCTTTAACTTGCTTTGTAGTGGCCAAGGCATTCAGTGTTTGACTAAGTTACTTATACGTCATTGTATACTGGTGACTCCATCTCCTTATAAGACTTACTGTTTTCCCCTTACATCTCCCCTCTTTAACTTGCTTTGTAGTGGCCAAGGCATTCAGTGTTTGACTAAGTTACTTATACGTCATTGTATACTGGTGACTCCATCTCCTTATAAGACTTACTGTTTTCCCCTTACATCTCCCCTCTTTAACTTGCTTTGTAGTGGCCAAGGCATTCAGTGTTTGACTAAGTTACTTATACGTCATTGTATACTGGTGACTCCATCTCCTTATAAGACATACTGTTTTCCCCTTACATCTGCCCCTCTTTAACTTGCTTTGTAGTGGCCAAGGCATTCAGTGTTTGACTAAGTTACTTATACGTCATTGTATACTGGTGACTCCATCTCCTTATAAGACATACTGTTTTCCCCTTACATCTCCCCTCTTTAACTTGCTTTGTAGTGGCCAAGGCATTCAGTGTTTGACTAAGTTACTTATAAGTCATTGTATACTGGTGACTCCATCTCCTTATAAGACTTACTGTTTTCCCCTTACATCTCCCCTCTTTAACTTGCTTTGTAGTGGCCGTGTCTTCCTGGTGTCAGGAATGGATTATACCGAGAATTCGGCGAGAAACTGAACCAAACTCAAAACCAACGTTTTGAAAACTTGGGCGAAAGTAAAATAGAGCTGTGGTTCCAAATTACTAACTCTGGTCACAACTGTACTCCTGCCATGCACAACCTTCAAATGGTGGCCTCCTCTCTCTCTATCAAGGGAGATCAATTTTTTGTAGCGAACACTAAATGTAGGGTCCCCATCTGGACGCTGTGCAGATGTATCCTGTAGGTAAGCTGTTCACTCCTTACCCAAAGAATTTCCGCCAGTTATGCATTTCCACTAGTTATACTGGCGGAGTATGTGGCAGGATGAGGAGAAAAATGTCCACTATGGAGAGAATTCCCAGAAGTTACTCAAATCCCTCAGCATAGCTCTGTCCCTCTGCATCCTGTTAACCTCCCAGGCCATATATGTATAGCTGTGGACTCTTAGCACCCCTATTTACGTTAACTGGTGGACTCTGCCACCTTATGTCATAGGGATTATATACTTTACAGGGAGTGTAATTAGACATTAGTATATATACTCACTGGTTAGTATTATACTCACTGGTTAATACAGGTTCCCATGGAAGCTCTATGTAGCCCATAAGGTGCATGATTTCTTCTCAAAGGTATGCATGTAGGTGTATAATGTGCCATATTATTTCCTTGTGAACAGTAGTACAGGAAGTGCAATAGCTAACTTGTTGGCTACACCCACTTGATGTGTGTGGGCTACTGGTTACTTGTTCCCTTCTAAGAAAACCAGCCCAACAACTCCATTTCCTTCTTCCCCTACAGACCTCTTCACCTCTATCTCTCTTGTAGGCTTTCCCTTTACATGAAGCCATTTTGGTTAGGGGGAAGAACCTTCCAGAAGGTTTAGTGAGGAGAAGTACTCTGGCCATTTCTCTGTTCCCCCTACACACCTCCTCCTCCTTACCTGTTTCCTTGCATGATACAAGAAGCCATTTAGTTTGGGCGCTAAGCAAAGTTAGTGAGGACTTGTGGGAAAATAACCTTCCACAAAGTTGGATGTGACAAGTAGAGCCGATTCCCTCTCCCCCCACTCACCTTTCCATCTTCCCCCACTCACCTTTCCATCTTCCCCCACTCACCTTTCCCTCACCTTTCCCATGGTGCCCTGTTTCCTTCTAAAAGTGGTTGTGTGATTCACAAATTGTATGCGTTCCGCTTAACAAAAGGTGCAGGGAAGTTTTGTGGGGAAGTCTAGCACAAGAAGTACTCTAGACCTTTTCCTTCTTCCCCCACCCCCTCCTCCTCTCCCTCCCGGCCCACTTCTCCTTTCAAGGCAGTTTTCATGATGTGTTGTCGCAAGCAATGAGTGTGACATGCGGGAAGGATACGTGAGGAGTTTCTCGGAGAGAACCTTCTAGAATAACGTATTATTAAAGATGATGCAACTTTATCTCTCCCTCTCTCATCTCTGTCACTCATTCTGGGCGGTCTATTGACGTCTGTGTTAGGTTAGTGCGTTGTAATGCTTTAGTGCAGGTAGGCTTCTGTACTTAAAGGAACGCATGAGTTATGACGGAAGACCGACCTATATTTCGTCAGGTGGCTTGTTGTGGAATGTCTAGAACATTCTCTGGAGGGGAAGTTGTTTTACAAGAAGATGATTGGTGGCTTGTTGTGGAATATCTCTAGAACATTCGCTGGAGGGGAGCACAAGTTGTGTTACAAGAGGGTGATTGGTGGCTTGTTGTGCGAATATCTCTAGAACATTCGTTGGAGGGGAGCACAATTTGTTTACAAGAGGATGATTGGTGGCTTGTTGTGGAATATCTCTAGAACATTCGTTGGAGGGGAGCACAATTTGTGTTACAAGAGGGTGATTGGTGGCTTGTTCCTGATTTCCAATCTTCCACACAACCCCATTCGCCACAATTTTTGCGGATCACAAATTCGTGTTTTTAAAAGTTTCTCACGCTATACAGTTTTAACAGTCACACTTTTCCAGCCCCCAGACTGTTCTTCCCAGAATTGGGTGTAGCTGTGGGTTTTGTAAATTGGGATTTGTGGGTATTGGTTTGGATCAGGGAATTGGAGGATTGGGGATGTGGGCTTAGGAATAGAGAATTGCGGTAATAGTTTGGAAAGTGGGTGATTGGAGTATGGGCTTGGGGATCAAAATTGGGGGTGAAGGGTATTATTATTATTATATGGGTGTGTGGGTAATGTTAATGGCTCGTGCACTACTTATTCACTTTCACTTTTTTCCTCACACACACACCCCACGTAAACAGTTGGTGCAGGATATATCGGCAGAGAACGGCGGGGTCATAATCAGCTTCCCGCGTTCCGGAACCAACTCGGACAAGGTCATGCTGAAGGGGGCCAAGCAGTGCATCGATGGAGCCCGCACTCGGATCCTTGAAGTCGTGGAAGACTTGGTACATTATAACAGTAAACAATCGTGCGAAGTGTTACGCTGTAAATTGCCTAGCGCATTAGCGCGAGGCTCCTACTCCAGGTTGTATTCTCGCGATATGCGTACATACGTACGTACGTGTCGGTCATGCTTAAGAATGTCAATTAGTCACGCTTAGGAATGTCAACTTCTGTCATTCATAGGAAGTCTAGCTTCCGCCGTGCGCGCAGATTCCTACCGTAGGAAGTCTGCCTTCGCGCGCAGTCAGTAGAGCGCGTGCACGAGCGGCCTCAGTCGGAGTGTTTACGCATTGGCTGGCAGGCGCGAGGCAAAATATGCGCGTGCGCTATTCCTAGTAAATTATACAGTTTGAACAGTGAGTTTATGGGCATTTGAAGGCCCAAGGCCGTTGTGCCGTTTCGGTTCGTGTGCGAACTTATTGTAGGGAGGGGGGGCGATGTAGTAAAGCTAGCTAGAGACTGTCATGAAATCCAGCATCATTACGCACATCATTCATCTGACACACGCCCATTGTATTTGTATGCACAGTTCTAAAACGCGTGTAGATTTCATTAGCTGTCTCCTAACTTTAGCACATGTAATTTGCTGAACAGAACAGGACACGGACAAAATTACACAATGTGTACATATTATATGGCGCTGGCTTTACAGCTATGCATTACTGTTATTGCTGTTCACTCCTACTGGGAATGCGGCATATAGTACAGAAGTACACAAGAGAATTACTGTCGGTTTACAAAACAATTAACGAATGTTATGAGCACCACGTGAAATATACCGAGAAATCATACAGAGAGCACCCTCCAGGGTCGGTTGTATTGAAAAGACTGCAGCAAAACACCCTGACCATCTGTGCGTGTGTGTGTGATCGTGTGTGAGGAAAAAATTCCATCATAGCCGTCCCACTTTCGCTTTGTGGTTAGCTGTGGAGAAAACCTGGAGGCCCTTCGATCCTGCCCTTCCTTGTAGTAAGCCACACACACACACACACACACACACACTGTGTGATCAAGCTGGTGTTGGGAAATGTAATCTTTGCCAGCTGTGTATATACTACATATGTACAAACAGCAGTTTTCCCTATGCCCTCCCCTCTCTTCTGCACGATTTTAGAGGGAGCCTCGAACAAGACTGCCATTCCACAATCCGGAATAGTAATAATTATACATACGCGTGTTATTACACACAGCTACTTTGATGTGTCGCTTTATTCCAACAAGCATTCGCGTTTGCTTGCGCAAATACTCATTTCGACGTTTTTGCTTGTTTGCAGTTTTTGCAAATGTCTGTTGAAAACAATCGCCAATGAAAGCTCAATTAAATAGGGTTGTAAAAACTTCTTCCCAAAATGCTTTTTAGTGCTTTGCTTTCCCTTCTCTACCAGCCTCCATTCCTGTAATATTTTTGGGTCTAATGGACATATTATTATGTGACTTGTTTACAACCAGTTTGACCTGTTCCCAAACCTGTCTCTATGTATGCAAGGGAGTGGCTGCTGCTACTGGCCAATAAATCATACCCTATAATGTGCAGTTGCTGGGGTAACTATACCAAACCCAGTTTGACCTGTTCCCAAACCTGTCTCTATGTATGCAAGGAAATGCCTCCCTCTTCCCAGTTCCTGTGTTGACACAAGAAGTATAGCTACTTACTAGTATATACCCCTATATGGTCATTTGCAAGCTATGTAAATTGTATCCTGTTGTTAAAGGATGAATGTAGTTGTGACATATATACCCACTTTAGTAATATGTCCTTATGCCGATTTTATCTCAGGTGCAAACCTGTTTATTGAGAGACTATATTGTCCTTCTTTACTTTTCTCTACATGAATACTGTTCTTGTGACCAGTACGTCCTGGTACACTATGTATGTGGATATGAACTTTCTTTTAAAGTCTCTCATGTTATTTACAGTGGAACCTCCGATAAAGGACCCTCCGAGATAGGGACGACCTCTCTACAAAGGACACTTGTTTCAACCCCATGCTAATAGTTAACCTCCGAGATAGGGACGACCTCTCTACAAAGGACACTTGTTTCAACCCCATGCTAATACCTTAGTGTATTATTTGACCTCCGAGATAGGGACGACCTCTCTACAAGGGACAAAATCGTTGACCTCATAGTGTCCCTTGTTGGGAGTTCCACTGTATAGTCTTCCATAGGTTTAAGATTGTGAAGGTAGTATATATATAGTGTAGATCCTGGGAACCCGTGGAATAATGTGAACTGTTCCCACGCCATTAAAGATAGGGTTCAAGAATTGAATCTCTCTCTTGTACAAACACGGCTAACCAGCCCTCCTTTGTTATGGTGGGAAAGACTCAACCAGTTCTTTGAAATAGTACTAACTATCATAATTTGTGTGGTAGGGGGGAGATCCTCTATCCACCACAAGCCCTTGGTGGCAGTGGATGGTCACCATTACTGTAGTTGTGGCTTTTCACAAAGGATTTTCTGGTGGGCTTGTTTAGTGTTGGGCTTTTTGTTCTCCTGAGGCTGTGGCCTAGCTTGTATACACACCCCTTTGGGGGAAGCTCTTTATCAAGAAGTTCTATTGCCTTTTGGGCATGTTCCTTCCTACATGTTTGCAGTTGACTTTCAGTTAACTGTTTGAGAGTTTTTGACTTTGTTAGTCGGAGGTGGTTGGTATGTTTGTTCCTGTGAGTGTGGGTTTTGAGGTTCTTTTAGACAGACTAGAGCATCTGGTGCGAGTGAGGTGTGGGTGGAAGAAAGGGAACAGGGGAAGGGGGAAGAAGGGAGTAAAGGAGGGAGGAAGGAAGAGGGGGTAAAGGAGGGAAGAGGGGGAGCAGTGAGGGAGGGGGTAAAGGAGGGAAGAGGGGGAGGAGGTAAAGGAGGGAAGAGGGGAAGCAGTGAGGGGGGAGGTAAAGGAGGGAAGAAGGGAAGCAGTGAGGGAGGAGGTGGAAGTATTCAGTTCGCAGATAAAGAGGAGAAAGACAGTGCTGAATAGGAAGGAATAAAAAGCTTGAGGCTTGGTAACTGTGTGATAGTGTTGAAAATCAACCACAGTTCACAGTTCAGCAGACAAGTCCATACACAATCCCTACTATGGTATAATACTTAGCCTCATAGATGTATAGGGCTATGATAGGGAGTTTTGTTCGCCATGTAACTGACTTCCCTATAAGGGTGTGGGGAACTTCTGGGGCATATCATGTGACCATCATACCATTCTGAAGAAATAAGGGAAATTCCTGAATTATTCACACTTCTACTAACTGGACTACGTAGGTCAGCAGTCGTTGGATAATACAGTTGAATCTCGTTATAATGAATTGCTGGGGACCTAAAAGAATTTGTTCACAGTAAAGGGAATTTTTCGGAAGTGTGGCGAGTGTTCTATAGGGCTAGGCTAAGGGTGTTCTCTATAATGAGACTCCACTGTAGCTGACTTCACATTACAATTTTCCAAGGCTAGCAGAGAGCCATGAAGCCATGTGGTTCTGACTTTTCCCTGATGTAGACAGCGTGGTTAAAAGCAATGATGAATTCTCACATACGACTCGATCAAAGTTGATTGCACTGCTGAATGACCAAGCAAAGACGGTGATTCTAAAGGTAGAATTAGCTACAAGACCTATCTTTTGACTGCGAACGTGCTTATGGGACTGTAGGTAGGTTCTTAGGGCTTAGCGTATAAAAATGGTGTTGTGGGATTTTGAGCTTCAGTGGCTCTCTCTGTTTAAAAAGCTTACCCGTGGCTCTCTCTGTTTCAGACTATATACGAGGCTACAGTAGTTTGGTTCTTACCAGCCAAAAGCCGTGGAGTTGTGTATTCAATGGGTGATGTGGTAAACAGCGTCTGGTGCAAATTGCTTACCAAGTGGAAAAAATCATTTCTTCAAAATGAAGGGGATATACGTAGGGATCATGGCTTTAAGCAACAAAAAGGAAGAAACAAGGGGTCATCATTACACAGCAAAGATGCACAAAGTGAGTGGGTCATTCTCGCCGAGTTTTGAGGCGTTTTGTACGCGGATCACGTGAGATTTCACCCGTGCCATCCCTCTACCAACGCTCTATATAATAAGGGAGGACAGTATTTTTCAAGGGGGATTGCCCCCTTACACCCTCCCCTAGAAGTAAGTGGGAGTGTTTGTAGTAAGCTATATGTGACCCGCTCTGGGAAAAGGTACAATTCGGTGCATACTGGTAGTAAGTAGGAGTGGCCAGTGTGTCGCAAGTCTGTTACACTCTCTTCTCTGTGTGAGTGTATACTGGTAGTAAGTAGGAGTGGCCAGTGTGTCGCAAGTCTGTTACACTCTCTCATCTGTGTGAGTGTATACTGGTAGTAGGAGTGGCCAGTGGGTCAGCAAGTCTGTTACACTCTCTTCTCTGTGTGAGTGTATACTGGTAGTAGGAGTGGCCAGTGGGTCAGTAAGTCTGTTACACTGTGTGAGTGTAAGCAGGTGATGAGAGTACCAAGAAAGCCCATGTGATTCCCCATCAGGAAGTGTGGGCACACACTATCTATGATAATGCATGACACCCCAGATGGATGTAAGGGAATACCCTGTACAGTTACAATAGCCGGCCATACATTTGTCTCACGATGAGGTTGCTGCGTTGGCATGCCTAATTGTCTCTTGGAGGGGAAATTGTCTCCCAGTCTCGTAGGATGTGTTTACTAACACCTGTCACTGTATACTGTGTACAAGATACTTTGGCGCCAGTGTATATGGCTTTTATTATCTCTAAGGTTATAATACTAACTTATTTGTGCCACATGGTGTGTATGGCTTTTATGGGTATTAAATTGTTTTTTGGCGCCAGTGTATATGGCTTTTATTATCTCTAAGGTTATAATACTAACTTATTTGTACCACATGGTGTGTATGGCTTTTATGGGTATTAAATTGTTTTTTGGCGCCAGGCGTAGTATGTGGTTGTTTCAATCTCATAACTTTCAAGGCACCATAGGTTGCTGTGCAATCCCAATAGGGTATTAGTGCACCCTTACATCATGTGCTTGTCTGTTTGTGTAATTTGCTGATGTGGCTTAACCTCTTTGGGTTCATCGACTGAAGAGCTGAGACAGAAAGTCGTAGACGTCATGGTCTGTGCTACATTATTACATTCTTTCAAACAATGTACTCAGCCTACCTATAGCATCCCCCTTTTTACTCAGACTACCTATGTAGCATCCCCACTATGCTTGCATAAAGTATCCTCACTAACACAGGCTTCTAATACACGCATAAATCTTACTGACTTATCTGCTACTATATAGCACCCCCGTAAAGCGTCATCACAACACTTGGCACACTACAACACAAGGGTTCTATAGATTTTACAGACTGCTGTGAGACTATTATCCGCACACCTGCTTACAATAAACGTGGGAAACAGGAAGGCTACTAGGGATTTACACAACACTTACTTCCCTCATTAAAACCCAGCGACTCTTGAACGTGTAGGTTGTCTGTTGTTTGTCACCCACGATATGGGTTTATCTGTTTATTTTCCTGGTTATAAACACTGGCATGGACAACATCCTTTCCCAGCTTACATCTCTCTCTGGTTTACCAACAAGTTCGTATTATGTGGCTATAGTGTTGGTGTATGCTCTACAACTCACACCTTTAGAGCCCCCCCCTCCATGGGAAGGAAGTATTTATGACACCTTTTGACATTATAACACCTTTTCTTACATATATGGGAGTGTTTTTGTGGTGCTGTGGGCACTATACATCTAGACCCATTTTGGGAGTGCAGGGACATATAATATGTACATACATACATAAATTAGTAGTATGTGGTGTGTGCTGTTTATTGTACTTACATAGCTAGCTACACGTAAGAACTTTAACCCTTTCCACACCACTAATATGCAATCATAAACCGTGTACAAAGTATTAAAGCCTAGTATTAAAAACCTCCATATAAAATCTTGCTGCTTATGGAGACAATGGACACATTTATGTGTCCTTGGCTGGTTAAGTTTAAACCCACCGCCTCAGTTATCAAGGTTGGCCACCTTCTGTCTAGCCATCATCCGTGTCTTGCATAATATTGTGTTTGTGTCTTATTATGTTTGTGCGGACAAAGTGAGGAAAGAAGTGTGAGTGAGCCTTTTGGTCATTCTCTATCCTTACTTATTCTTTAGCTAGAGTGGTATGTAGCTACAGTGTTGCTTCATGTATTGTACTTATGAGTTCAGAGGGGGAATTGGGTAGAAGGAAATTATGACAGGGAGTGTTATCCTTGAAGCTGTCTTAGATACACATTACGCTGTGTACACAGGCTCCACCGTGTCATGCATGTGGAGATGTGAGTTTTGAAGACCTGTAGGACTCATCCCTACGTTTGTGTTTGTGTTAGGCAACACCTGCCGGTGCCGCCACCGTTTACTTCCCACTGTCGTAACAACACCTCGGTTGGTATCCACGACGATGACTTTGCCATGGAAACGCAGTTAACACCTTGAGGGTCGCTCGCCGGGAGTAACGAAAACAGCGAAACGCCTAAGGGGGGTGCTTTGCCCCCCTAGCGGTGGGTGAAAGCGAAAAAGCCGTGGAAGCCAAGGGAATGGCAAACAACACGGGTCATGGTTTTCTTCATCTCGGTCGGTGTTAGTAAACCGAGGTTGTCAGTAGTGCCTCCTGGCGGGCCAACCTCGGTGTCTCTGTGTCCACCTCCTAGAGCAAACACAGTGTTTTCCTCTTACCGAGACTTTCCCTCCATCCCTACCTCCTCACCCTTCTCTCAAACACTCCCTCTTATCCTCCTCTCTGCCTCCTTACCCTTCTCTCACAAACACTCCCTCTTACCCTCCTCTCTACCTCCTTACCCTTCTCACACACACTCCCTACTACCTCCTCTACTCTACCCTCGCACATCATACCCACTCTACCCTTCTCACACACACTCCCTCTTACCCTCCTCTCTACCTCCTTACCCTTCTCACACACACTCCCTCTTACCCTCCTCTCTACCTCCTTACCCTTCTCACACACACTCCCTCATCCATCCCTACCTCCTTACCCTTCTCACACACACACTCCCTCTTACCCTCCCTCCTCTCTACCTCCCTCACCGGCTCTTCTTCATGTAGAAAACCCATCACCAATGCATTACTCCCTGTGCCTTTTTCCCATCCTCTACAACCTCACACACACACACCTAACCATTATTATTGCATTTCAGGTAAAACCCTGGGTGCCCTGATTTTACTGAAGTAGTACTCTTTTGGGGATAGAGATCGTGCCTAGTCAAGCGTGCATGGGTGTCAGTTTGTAAACCCCCAGTCTGCTATGAAAATGCAATAGTGGCAGTGCACTGCGGTTGAAAATTCCTCCAAAACGCAGTCCCCTCCCCTCCCTCTCCGTTGCCGCCCCGCTGTGTGGCTATGCCGGAGTTTCGAGCACGAAAATGACTCTCTAAAGATCAGATTAAAAGTTGTCCCAACAGCTCAGTGATAGTGTCGCGGAGGTGTGCGTTACTGTGAGTGATTGCGGTGTGTATACATACATACATACATACATACGTACAGTACATGACAAGTGCCACCCCTAGAATCAGACATTTGTTTGCATTGCCCTCTTTTGGAGTTGTGACTGCACTTTGGTGGTGCAAGCTCACCATATGCTTTGAAGAGAAGGGAGCGTAGACACTCTGGCAACCTTTTGCGGGGTTGCAACCGTAGTATTTGGTAGATTTAGCTTTGATAGAGAATGGGTGACCTCTTTAGGTAGGGGTACATTATGTATGTTGGTGAAAGGGTGGATGGTTACATATGTAGATACATGCGTCATGCTCTTCTCTCCCTTTCTCTTACCTCATTCACCCCCTCCCCCCCTCTCTCTCTCTCACACACACACACACACACTCTTATGTACCCACCCTCCAACTTCAGGAGGCACAGGTGGCCGTCAAGTGTGAGATTGACTCGAAGCTCCATCGCTCCATCTTGGGCCAGAGGGGAGCACACGTACAGGTAATTATTGTACAGCCGGAAAAATTGACACCGAAAACTTCCACCGATTTCACAAATTTTTTTGAGGAAAGTTTTATTTGTGGATGAGACCATCTGTAAAAAGAGAGAAGCCATCGGTGAACATTTTTACTGTGAAATTACTACGAAGTATATCTGTCTGCCACTATTATGATGCAGACAGTTGTGGTGTATAGCATTGTGTGTGTGTGTGTGTGTGAAATCTGAAAAGCGAGGAGTGAGAACTAAGCCCTAGGAGATCTACTTTGCTGTGTAGAAGAAGATATTCATGCCCGAGCATCTTACCCCCCCCCCCCAGTGAACCTTACCTTCGTGGGGTGTTTTTACATCATAGTATTCATGCTGCCGTGGTAGCGAGCGAGATTAAACTGATAAATGCCTTTGCTAGATATCCATAAAGACCCAATCGTACTCTCTTGTTTGTGTAAGCCCCGATGTGCATGCTAAAGTCCTAATCGAGCACGAGGTTATGGAAAACAGACCGACAGTTGTTAGCAAGAGTCTCAGATTTCAAAACCCGTGGTGTAGTAGTGCCTTTAAAGGTGGAGGTTGAGCATTAGCTAAATTGCAAACTTTAGAAAACGATGTATCAAAACACGAAGGATGTTTGCTGGGCTGTTTATCCACCGCCCTGTGCGATTTCTGTTGATCTATCTACCACGTTTGTGTGTGTGTGTGTGTGTGTGTGTACACGTAGGCTATAACGTCAGAGCACAATGTGTCCATCAAATTCCCCGACCGAGAACCGCAGCAGCTGAGGAGCCAGCCGAGCGAGGAGGGGGAGGAGTCAGCCCCGCCCCCTGCAGACGACCCGGCCCGTAACCTCATCCTCATCACAGGGAGGAAAGAGAACTGCGAGGCTGCTAAACTGGCACTGATGGTGAGACTAACGTGTTTTCTATAGCAGATGCATGTTCCAGTCTAGTCTCTAATCCTAGCCCTGTTCTACCGCTAGCCTTGCTACCTTTTATTATAGCGTATTGTGTATTGATACTACCAATAACACTGTTCTGTCTGTTTTATCACGACTTTCATGAGATAAACTATGAGAAATAACCTTCTTTACCGAGCGAGAATCGTTCTTTTTCGTTCTCGACTTCTGGCCTCGCCTAACTGTGAATTTTCCATCTGGAGTTTTGCAAGTATGTTGTATGTATGGTACTGCTTCAGTTGTTGGAGAGAGAATGTAGTTGTCTCTTTGAGGACTATTACGTATGTTTGTTGATGTGGACAAGGTCTGGGGGGAGGTTGAGAGCTGTATCGTGGTCGTTTTTCCAAACTTTAAACTGTTTCCAATCATTCAGAGCGCGTAGTGAAAGTGGGCAGACGCTCTGATTGTTTGTGGGCGTTGTTTACAAGAAAACACGCATGGAAACAAGCCACGATATTCATGTTTACTTGTATATAGCGCCCCCCTACCGTCTCTCCATGTACACATGTACACATTGTGTGTACTCATGTAAAAGTCATGTAAAAGTCATGCATTTTATCTGTATGCACATGTACATTCATGTAAGTTCTATGTACATTATTACATTCCTGACAAGCACTGAATGTAAAATTATCAGTCCCATCTCTTGATTTCCATTGACCTTCAGTTTTCCCTCCCCCCTCTTCCCCCCACCTGCTCACCTTTCTTACCTCCCCCTGTGCGCAAGCAGTCGTCACAATATTCGCTTGATGAGCCATGCATAACATTATTTACATGCCACTTCGCGTATAGAGCGTAAACATGATAGATGCAGGCTTTTTTTATGGTGCGCGGGTCGAGGGTCAGGTTATGCAAGGGAGGTATATACACGTATTTATGGTCATTTTACCCCCAGTGCGGAATGGTATCAAATGAAACTGCTTGATACGGTCGTGTCAAAGAATTCTTGTTGCCATGGTAGCATGCGAGACGATGCTGATAAGGAGCTTTTATACGGAGCATGAAACTACTTCAGAATGCGTTACAACACGCGGTTTATGGAGTTGTTTGTGCCATCCATACATGATGCTGCGCGGGAAATCCATTTTCCATACGGATTTAACCACCACCACCGCACAAGATCTTAGACGGGATAATGTATGGTTACTTCCTACTAGCGCACAAATTCTCTGTGGGTGGGTGGGATTAAAACATATGCTTAAAACTTTTGACGATTGTTGTTTTTTGTTAAAAAGTGGGTAAAGTAGGCTGTTAGATTGGTATTACAAATGACTAGCAGATGTTTTTATCTGCCCACCCCCACAATTGATTGCCATTTAGCCCACCCAGTATACACACCCCCCCATCCTCCACCCAGGTACATACACAGACACAAACAACACAGTTGCACACAACAACAAGGTAGGACACCAGGTGCCCAACCTTGAGAACTGGGGCGGTGGGTTTGTCACTTCACTCATCTTCCTCAGCTGCAGAGAGTCAGCACACACATGTATATACAGTGTATGTATGTACTTACACCTCCATAAAAGGTGTATATACTATCTGTCGTGTGTACACATACTGGTTAGAGCCCCTGATGCTTTTCCTTGATAAACCCCATCCGGTGTTTCTCTGTAAACAAGATGAAACCTTTTGTGTACATTATTAGTAACACGAGAACACAATCTGTTTTTAACGATCTGTTTTTAATAGCCATGCGTATTAATAGCCGTAACAACCAATAATTATGTACAAAGCTCTCTATCACAGCCCCACACATCCATGAAGATAGGTCTATATACTATTTCCCTTCCTGTGTAGTTATCAAGCCTGTGTATATAATATACTAGTAGTCCTCAATATTAAAGGTTTTTAGAGGCATGAGGTGCTAACTACCTCAGTCCTTATCTAGCTTGCTAGTGTCTGTTTTTGTCTAAAACTAGAAGGAAATCCGTGTGTTTGGGAGAAAACCGAGGTGTGAATATCATTAACTCATAAGCATTACGTCATGCCTAGTGCTCCAGTGAAGCAACTATAAACATTCTTGTATGCCTGCGCAATAATTGCTTTACCCGGAATTATAAAATTCACGACTTGAGGATTATCGCCACAGGAAGACCAATCTGTAGGCATATATCCGGTCGGTGTTTGCAGGATATCTTATGGGTGGGCATGTTTTTTACCTAAGAGGTAGGCTTTACAGCAAATTTAAGCAGAGGTGGCTATTGAATCTCTCTAGGAGGTGTGAATATGCGTTTTAAAACATTTGAGTTGAGTGTCTATTGGCAAGTTTACATCTTGTTTTTTGAGTCGAGTGTCTATTAACGGAATGGGAGACTGACTACCTCATAGTTGCAATGATAAGACAAAAAATGCCGTGAACTGATAAAACCATGAGCTAGTTTTTAATATGCACTTTTGTTGAAAGACATGTTTATGTATAATGAGTTTGTGGTAAACTTTTATACCTGAGCGAGGGGTTTAAACTCATCATTAAGGTAGTACACCGCAGTCCTTTAGTATTGGTGGGGGGTCCGATTGCCCCATCCTTTGCTCAAAGAAAGGGTTTGTAAACAGATGCACTTCAGTGGTGGATCAACAAATGGGAGGGGAAATAATATTCGAGGAGTGTTTTCCTCCAATCTTCCCACATTAGGTCATGCCTTGTGCGTGTGAGGGTTTGTCACGTGACTGCCCTATATAGACTATATACAGAGTACACGTGTGTTACAATACAGTGGAACTCCTCCAAGGACCCCTGAAATGAGTATATACACCTAACTCTCGAACGTGCCTTTTAACCCCTGAAGTACTGCGCAACTCACTAATATGGACACTTCTTTCTGACCCCCGTCTGTGTCCAGATTAGAAGGGGTCCACTGTAGTCCATTGCACACACGTCACGTGGTTTGGTAGCAGCATATATCAATGGGAGGAAAAGGATGTTGGATACACGCCACATGGTGCCTCCCTCCACCTGATACCTCATCCTTTTATGTACAAGTAATGGACACAAATGTGGCTTAAGTTCCTGGTCCCTATAATTTGCCTTCGAAGGTTTTGGAACTACGTTGCAACTGGGTTAATCGGAACTTCCTTCATCGGACTCTTACATACCCATGAATCATGCATACATAAAGAGCATGATGGTCATAATTTCTGCCTTCTGCATGCATACAGTAAATGTGCAATATGTGAGATGTACAACTACATATATAGCTGTTTTAGTGGAAAGGGATGTAGAGATGGGTGGAAAGCTGCAAAAAGTTAAGAGATATATTGAGAGGGGGGTTGGGAGAGAACAGAGGGGGAAGAGAAGAGAGAGGGAAAGAGAGGGAAGAGAGAGGGAAGGAGAGGGAAGAGAGAGGAAAGAGAGAGAGAAGAGGGGAGAGAAAGGGGAGGAGGAGAGGAAAGAGAGAGAAGAGAGGGGGGAGAGAGAGGGGAGGAGGAGAGGGAAGAGAGAGGGGGGAGGGAAGAAGAGAAGAGAGAGAGGGGGGAGGGAAGAGAGGGGGAGAGGAGAGGGAAGAGAGAGGGGGTGGCAGGCCATAAAGTGCTACAGCAGATGGATAGAGCCCCATGTGTTTATCTATGTCCCTATGCAAACAAGGCTCCCTGTACACGGGCCTTGAAAGGGTGCACTGAAATAACCACTATGAAGCTGCCCACTGTCCAAATGGCTGTGTACATGACCGAGACACGAGGCACCCAAATGCATGCTCTAGTAACGATACCAAAGAATCCACCCACCAATGAAATGCATTTGCTCACTCATTGTAGCACAGGAACCGAATTATTTAACTAACTGCAGAACAAGGCAATGCTGTCACGTATCGCAATGTTCTAATTATGCGTAAGCTTATGAAATTTCGCACTAAATGTATTAGAGTACACGTGTCAACAACGAGGTCGCAAGGCAAGGCAATCAACTCCATGGTGTAATTCACTTCCACCTGATTGATTTTCTACTTCCAGTTTACTATCCAGCTTGCTATCCAGTTTACTATCCAGTTTACTATCCAGTTTACTATCCAGCTGTTCTTCCATTGTCATGATTTAGTTCAGTTCCACATTATCTTGGCATTAATCATAATGTTACTGACAAAAATGGCTAGTTTCCTACTACTTATCTCTTTGTAGTTGTGTAACCGACACTGCATATTATCCCTACATACGTAGTTAACTGTTACTGCATTATTAACCCTCGGCGCGCATGCGCTGCGCATGTGCAGCGAAGGTTACTGTAGTTGTCGTGTCTGTCTGTCTGTCTGTCTGTCCATATCCCAACATCTCACTTCACGAGCCATGAATCGCTCCGCAAACAGTACCAGGTATTCAGCGTCGGGAAGGGATAAATTTTTACGATTTTGTAGCAAAATATGAATTTCGTGTAACCTATTGCCCACCCCTTGAAATCTGCAACTATAGATTGCACACCAGATGACTTGCCACAGCTGTCTTACAACCCTTAAAAATTCCTAGAAAAAACCGACTGTGTTGGTATATACTGTGGTCAGGTTTGTGGGCCTGTGGGACAGTGTACGTAGGTGTAGGCATATACATATGTAGGGTTGAGAACTGAAGCGTATATAGAGACCACATCAATTATTGTGATTGGGATACCCTTCACTTTCTCTCTCCCTCACCCTCCTCACGCTCGCAGTCAGGACCCTGACGAAACGCGCGAGCGAAACGCAGCGCACAGCGCGACTGCGCGCGCGCGCGCGCGCGACGCGCGCGCGACTCGTCCTTCGTCCTTCCCTCCATCCTTTCTGTCTTCGCTCCCCTCCCATCCCCTTCTCCTCGTCGTCTGGTCCATCCCTCACCCTCCACGGCTCTCTGCTCTCTCTTTCTTTCCAGAACTCATACCCCATCAGGTGTTGAAGTTTCTGTGGTTCGGGTTCGCGTTCGCCATCGTGACATCATCGGGTAAACAGGGCACAGAGGATTCGAAGTTCTCATGAGGAATGCATACATGTGAGCGACACCTCCCT